GCGGTAAATTCTTGCTGTCCGTAAATTTGTGGGAGTTCGCTGGTGTTTTTGCAAGAGTAGTTAGAAAGGGAATGATTAACAGTATGGACGTGGGTAGTRTGGCGGTGTAAAGCTGGGTCATTTAGGGTAAGAATCACAATCGGTCATCTTGACAAATAGAATGAATTCTTACCTGCGATTGCATATAGTATCTTGCACAGACTGAGCATATTTTATTTCAGCGGCTGCTTTTCCACAGAGAAGTGTGGAAATTTAACATGAGTGTGTTGGGGACATGGTTTGTTTCTATCCTGTGAAACCATTGGTTAATCCAGTACTAATTCCTGTCAACAAATGTGCTATTTCTGTTATGCTTAYACTCATCTGTCTTTTCCTTTGCTGCAGATAAGGCAGAAGATAAGTAAACAGAAGAGTGACCCCACAAGCACTGTCCGAGTAGGAATTCCCAATTACATAAGGCTCTTCTAAGCCTCTGGATAAATGCAGACATTGACAGGGTGAGAAGAGGACACATCCTGATGGCTCAAAAGAAATGCAGCAATAAGGAAAACACAAAGCTCTGAAAGCAGGAAAGTTTGTTTAAAAGCTGTGATTTATTACATATAGAACCTAACGTAGAATTAATCTAATTTTTCTGCCTTTGGACCCTGAGAAGTATTCTGGTTCCAGATAATTCTCTACATTTTGAAATGCTACTGACTGCCTTTCTGTTACTGTTCTTGTGGAAATGTATTCAAACATTTTTCCTGGAGGGAAAAAGCATAAATATGTAACTTCTTCTAATAAAGTTTTCCTTAAAAAAACAAGTAGAGAAACAATCTTTCAGGCTGGAAATCCACTGAATATTGCATCTCTTTATGAGAAAACTTCTTCTGGCTTGTATGGAGCTGAACTAGCAGTTCAAGTACTACTCAAAAAATGAAATAATTTGCTTCAAAATAGATAATTCTCCCGACTGATTTAAAACTGATGGATGGTTTTAACGTTCAGCCAAAACTTACTTGTGTCCCAGTTTTTCACGTGCAGAAATTGAAGATGCGTGGCATATAAGAAGCTTTTTAAAAAAAAATCTTAACAAGTTAATGATACCTCATTTCAGATGCTGATTTGGCTTAGACCAAGGCCTCAGTCATGTCCTCAGAAACTTTTGATGCATTTCCAGAGAACTTCAGCTCTAATTAACTTTTGGACCTTACCAAAGTGATCTGTAATGAGTGTATTGGACAGGAAGCTCAACTATGAACCAGCAAGCACCATCTTCTCTGGAAAAGTTCAAATTTGCAGGACAAATCTGTGAAAGATAAAGAAGTTTCATCTGAAAGTTTATTCTTGTCTAACTGACACTTTCCAAGACTGCCTCAGAATTATTTTTTAGAGCCTAAGAACTCACAGTCTTTTTTTTTTTTTTTTTTGCTAATACTTTCCTTGTAAAAGAACCACTTAYATGCTGATTTTAGTGACAAAAGTGGTACATCAGCCATTGTGCTTTTCCATCCAAGTCAAGTATGAAGCACCATCTCTGAMAAATGTGCATTGCTTTCTTCTGTAAAATACATACTGAGGTTTTTTARAACTGTAATGAAAAGGTTTAATTTSGAAATGTGCAAAGACTMCATCTTTTGGTGCATCTTTCTGATGAAGGAATGAATTTGGCTGCTRTATGTYTAGTGGAGCACTGAAGAATTAAAATGCATTATCTACAATATTTTGGGCAAGTAATTAGGAAAACTTGCTTTTCGCTTGAGAAACAGAAACATGAAGTTTTGCAATTTATAAGCACAATTGGCTCTACATGGCTAAATAAATCTGGCAACCTTAGAAATGGTAACTCAAAACAAAATTACTAAAAGGGCCTAATTTACATATGTAGAGAAGAAGGTGATTGTATTGGTGATACAAAATCACACATTTGAACAGCTTGAGGATTTCAGCAGGTTGCTACTGGTACTCTTTATCATTAAGTTTAAAGTTTGGTAGGGTTTCATTACAGTGCATATATTCTTAGGAAAGAGCGTATGTTTATGCRTTGTGGTTTTTCTGTAGTTTCTCATTTAGTATTGCTATTTTCTCTTAGCATGAAGTAATTTACATTTTCATATCTGGCCACAGTCTGAGTTGGATGAAACTCTGTTCATTGAGTTTGGACTGATGCTAAGGCAAAGTACATTTTGGGATACCACTGGTGAAGGCATGTGGTGCCAGTGGTATAAAGTGGACAGGCTGTACAGTTTCACTGCCAAGTGAATGCCAGTGTCACTTCCAGTGACTSCAGAGAGACACATGGAGCTCCTCCAGCACTAAACCTTGTGAGGGACTTGTGAGGTTCCACTTTCCCTTCTGTCCCCTTTCCAGCGTTGGTGTCTCCACTCTTGCACAGTTTAAACTCCAGCTCATGGGACAGCAAGAATTCTTGCATTTCTGTCATTCTCTACCTTTAAAGGTCATAAATCCGATTATGAGCCCAAGTAGGACTTGCTTGTGTGAAATTCAGTGTTGTGATCTCACTGATGTCCTTAGGATGGGTCACACCGGGACGAGTTTAAAACCACCTASGCAAGAGAGTGAGCGCTTTGTTCCTTCACAGTTTTACAAGTATCGCACTCTATCGTGATACAACCTGCGTTCGGTGTAGGTGGAATGAGAAGAGTGTATTTTATRTAGGTAATAAATTGGGGCTGCAAGGCCCAGTGAGGGAAGTTYGATTGTTAGGCAGGCGAAACTTCCGCGCTTCCGACCCCTTTTTCCCCTGCTCACCTTGCTGCGCTCACGCTCCCAGCACTGCCCAACCGTGAAGCCAAAGACATTTTTGATTAACCCCGGTTATAACCAGACTTTTACAAAGCCCCGTGCCCGAGTCCGGGCGGTTCCGCAGCGGTCCCGCAGCACGGAGCACAGGGCGGCTACTCCAGACAGTACGGTAGGCGCGGCCCGCCCCTCCCCTCCCCGCCCCGCCGGGCCGGGCCGGGCTGTGCGGCCACGTCCCCGCTCGGGCCGGGCCGTGCCGGGCGATGCGGGCGGCGGGACGCGGCTGTGCGGTGCTGCTGGCCCGGCCGTGCCGCGCTGCCGCTCCGGCCATGCGGCCGTGCTGACCCGGCCATGCGGCGGCCGTGCAAGGTGGCGGCGGCGCTGCTGTGCCTGGCCGTGCTGCTGCTGCTCTATCTGCTGGCGGGCAGCGCGGCCCCGCCGCCCGCGCCCTCCGTGCCCGCCCGCCGCCCGCCGCGCCTCGGCCGGAGCCCCCCGAGGAGGAGCCCCTCGGGCAGCGGCAGCGCCAGCGCCAGGTAACGGGACGGCTCCGTGCCCCGTCCCTGCCCTCGGGAGTCCCTGCCCGCTCTGTCCGTGCCCAGCCCCACGCGAGACCCGCCCGCCCCGCGGTCCCCTCGGCGCTGTCGCTTTGGTGTCGGTGCGTCGGGCACTCCCCTGTCCCGGGTGTTCTTCACCCGGGAGTGACCGCTGATGAGAGAGCCATGTGTGTACTGCCGGGGTTCTCAAGTACAAACTTTTTCCTGCGTGTTTCCTYTGCCAGCRCAGTTGCCAGAGATGCCACGGAAGCGCGTGGAGATTTTCCCTGTATCTGAGCGGAAGGTTCTCTCCTCTGATAGAAAAGCTTCTAAAATAGCGGGTTTTCCATTAGTTCTGGCCTTGTTTCGGAGGCTGACGTGGGCAGTGTGGTACTCGCTGTCTGCAGTGAGGAGCTGCTGTCACCTCGGGAGCTGCACTTTGCGGGTTTTCCAGGAAAAAGGGAAAGCGCCTGGTAATTRCCGTGTGGTGCCACTGGGTTCCAAACTGCGAAGGCACCGGCTGATTTTAAGCTTTCGAGCTTTTTGTTTTGAATGTTTTTTATATGCAAATTAATTTAGCAGAACTTTAAAGTAGTTTTAAATTGTGGTGTGTTGTGTTTCCTCTCCCAGCACCTTACAGGCAGGGTATTTTTTTTAAAAACTAATTAGTTGAGAAAGGAGGGCTTTTGGTGGGTGGAGGACTTGTTTTCCCCTTTGCATTCCAATTATACTATGGTCAGTGTGACCTCATATATCTAATTACCTTGGTATGTCTTTGTGTCTCTGATTCATGATTTCACAGAGATGTTCTGAATGAAAGGCTATTCCTGTTTCTTGAGCTCTTACTCCTTAMCTTATTAAAGCAGTTGGTTTCTCCGCAGCATTGTTACCACACTGAATGCAGGAGATGTTTTCTGGGGCTGAGAGTGGGCCACGGACAGAATTCAAATGCTGGTATTAAAGCAGGATTATTTCCACTAGCAACTGTACCTCCTGAAGTCATTTTTCTTTAAGGCATATCTCTGTGATTATCATGGAAATCAAGAARAACACTGAAGGAGGGAGCCCAGAAAGTATGGAACTGCCAGAGAGTGTAAACAAATGGTCCATTTCAATGAGCTTTTCAGTGGAATCTTCATGTTTCACAATTTGACGTTATCTAACTTTTTGATTATTTGTTGACTTTGCAAGTACTTTTTTCAAGGTCTGCAACACAACAGCCTGAAAGGAGGAATTCACTATTCAGACCATGCATTTGCTTCAGAATTTTGTTTGTTTGTGGGCTTTGGGGGTTGTTTTTTCCGTTATGATCCTACATCTTTGGCCCCAGCAAGAGTCTCTAAAACYGAGCAGCACAATTCTGTGGATCCTGTTGAGCCACTTGCTGAAAGATTCTTTGTTGTGTTAGTTACTACTAAAATTTATTCAGTTGAGGGTCTCCATAAAACAAGAATTTTGGGGAGGGTGTGATGTAAGTGGTTCAAGTGGAGGTGATGCTTGCCTGCTTGGAAAGGCATTGGGTTGTAGGATCTGCTGGGTTTAAAAAGCCTGATCCAAGCTAGACTGAAAGCACTGGAGGGGCTTGAATTCAGATTGTAAGAAACAGGCCATGGTTATCATTTTAGTTCCTCCGTATCAGCAAAGGAAGATTAGTTTTTTATTTGATGTGAGGGATCACTACTTATCTAACTGATTCCTTCAGGATAATAGCAAATTTGATTAGGGCTGGATAAGATCTTGTGTGATGACAGTGTACATGCTTATATGAGACTGCATGACTGATCAACAGAACATTAGTGAAGTGTTGTCTTTGTGAATGTAAAACTTTTGAATTCAGTTTTGCCAAGTTGGTTTGTGTAGTTAGGTTAGAGGGTGCAGGTTTTGGGCTCAGCTCAGAAGCAAAGGTGTTACCTAGGATGTCTGCTTTATGGAAATCATCGTCTTGCAGGGAAGATGCATTGTATTTTAACTGGGATTTGTAATACTGCTTTCTGTAGTTACATAATAACAGAAGACATCAGTTTTTAAGTTTTAAGAAGAGCAGAATGCTTCTCACGTAAGTAGCTATACACGATAAAAGTTTAATGTAAGCACTTGTCATTAACTGACTGGTACCTYGCAAATGTTAGCAATGACATTCATGTGTCCTGCTTTGGTCATTAGATAATTTTGACAAATCTAGCGAGGTTTCTGGTTAGCTTTGAAAATTTGATTTTTCATGGTAGTTTTACTGCTCATTTCTCTTGGAAGTTGCAAACCTTATGCCTCCAATAAGACTTTTTTATATGAAGAATTTTAAATATGTGCCAAACCAATGTGTGCAAAGTATCAAAAAGAAGGAGGATTGTTTTACATTTGAAGGGCAGATGTGACCACGCTCTCTATTAAATYAGCGTGGCAAAGCTTGGGAAGTGAACCTTTGCCAGCACATTTAGTTCCCTAAAAGTAACTTTTCCAGTGCAAAACATCTTTTGCATGGCAACCTGTCAAAATCCTCTTTCTGTGCAGCCTGTGTGCACACACATGCAAGTTTGGCTTGAGTGTGATAATAACATGGTGAAGCCCCAGCAAGTATTTCATACTTGTTTCAAAAAGAGCCCACTTCACAAAAGGAGAGAAAACCATCCATTCTGGTTTTGAGTGGCTTTTTTCCCCTTTCTCTGAGTGGTAGGAGGAGGTTGAAACTTCAACCATTTTTTAATTGACGGTAGCTGCAGTTGGTTTTGTGCAACTGCATCAAAGTGAGAAAAGTTGATTAAAAAACTTTGAGAGCCTTCCTTTCTAATTTATGTTTTAAAGTCTGCAAGAAAATGTGTTTCATATCATGGAGCTKCTGTTGGGATATTGACTCAGGGAAGGAGCCTGTCCAGTGAATCACCAGTTTTGATACAACGCCTAAATCTGCTCTTGTTTGTGCTGCAAGAGTAAATGAGATCATAATAGGAAGATGGTTTCAAAAATTAACAACTATATTGTGTTTTGGAAGAGTCTGCATGCATTATCTTTCTCTCAGGAATAAATTTGAAGGCTTGAATAGATTAGCAGGCTCTGTAATGAGGTGGGAATGCATTATTTTGAATGGATTTGGATTGATTTAGACAGGTTTTGGTTTAATTATGTTTGAGACACTTTGGCTGTGACTAATAAGAAAATTACATGTAATCTAAACTTTAAGACCTAGGAATGCACACTGTTGTGCTTGAGCACTCAGGCTGCTCCTGCTGTGTCAATGCCTTTCTGAAAAAAATTGTATGGAGTAAACAAAATACAGTGAGCAACTGGATGGGAGTTGCTCTGTATTGTTGGAAGGTCTTTGCTATAAGCATTTTATTGTTCTCCATCTTACCTTATTCTGTCTCCAGCCACTCCATGGGGATGTGTTCTACAAGTATTTTGTGATGCTTTCTGGAGTGCTTAATCTTAGTTTCTGTATTTCTTCTTGTCAAACACAGGAAGCRTTAAGGCCCAGGTCTCTATTGCTTTTGATGCATTTAAACATTYAATTTGAGTTATAAAATCCAGCTACAGACTTCATAACAGACAAGTTGACCTATAAAGAAATGAGTGTGTTAGGAAGAATTGGTTAATGACAATAATTGTATTACTTTGTGGATCTRGGGGCTTTTTAATGTCTTTGGAGTCTCTCGAGGTAGGAGATTCTTCCTGTGGTAACAGCTGTTCCCATTTTACAGGTSGGATGATTTGGCTGTATCCTGCAGATCTTTGAGGGATATCCTTTCATCCAGCTGTTGTTCCTCCCTGTCCCTTCCGTTCTCCTTGCACCGTACGAGGTGCGAGAACATGAACAGGGCAGGGGAGTTGGGGTGTTTTTTGCCAGGATCTGCTTGTTTGCCCTCCAGGCAGTTTGACTTTGCCTCTACACCTGCCTCTTCTCAGACTTCTGGATAATTGTTATTTTTTAAAGGCTATATTAAAATTGCGGTCAAGTGCATCCTGCTGTGGCACTTTTTTGTCTCCCATTCCAGCTCTCCTTTGTTTTCACAGTCCTCTAGGTTTCTTTAGGTACTTGGAGAAAAGATGTAAAATGTTGTGTCCCAAAATTCTTGTGTACCTCATTGCTACTCCTCTCACTGATTATTGCTCTCAGTGCCCCAGTATGAGTGATATAGTTCAAATATCTCCTTTTCTTTAGGATTTTTATTCCAATTCAGGCCACTCCCTGCACTGTTGGTAACTCGTCAYCTCCAAGGCTCAGCTTTTTCCTCTRCAGTGTCCATGTTGGATGTCTCTTGTTATCCCTGCTCCCATGGGCTTTCCAGGCATTCTGCTTTCACCAAGGATTGCTTCTGCTGAGTCTGTCCATTGGAAGTGCTTGTCCACATTTTTCACTCCAAAACAGCTGCCTAATGCAGAGCTCACCGTGGCTAAAACTGCCCAGGAAAGCTGAGTGCTTCGGTGTGGAGTTTTGAAGTGTTGCAATAAAAATGCAGGGTTTAGYCCCTCTCTCAGTGAATTCCACTGCCAGAAGCTACATCAAAGCAGCTCCCAGCCTCTCTATGGCTTGATTTAGAGACTCAATTAAGGGGAAACATTAAACAGATAGGGAGAAGGGGGAAAAGGTGATCTGTGTGAGCAGATAATTATGCACTTCAATAATTCAGCGGGTTTTACACTAATAGGTTGGAAAGTAAATACCACTTCACAGAGATGTAGTATTCCATTATTTATACACTGATGAAATTGAGGGTTAATTAAGACTAAATAGAAGATTTGAAGCCCTTAATGAAACATATTGCTTTGTATAGTTAGTATRGTGCCAGTGGCTGGTGTTCCTTTACACAGAGGTGGATAACTCTAAAGTAAAAGACTGCTGCTACACAGAGCAGCTCTTCAATATCTGGAAAAAAAAATAACAGCTTAAAACTGTCATTTTTCTCTTTATTTAGAAYTTCTGTTTGTAGCATTAACTTCAGTGATTAATTGTGTGCAATTGTGTGCAGAGCAGGGGCTGGGATTGATGTTCTCTGCTCAGAGATATGTCCAGGACRGGCAGTGATCTATGATTTGCCTTTTGAACTCTCCTGGAATGATTGCTGTGCCTGGGATTGAGTTGCTTGGTCAGCTCCATTCCGTGTAATGCAGTCTAAGTGCCCTCTGTGCTGGAATGTGGATATCCCATGGTAGGAGCATTCCTGGGGAATACAATTTTTACCTCCACACTAAACACAGATCCAAAGACTGTTTTCAAGAGGTCTTCACCTCCCTAGGAGAACCTGATTTTTCTGGCTGGCAGGGAGCTTTAATGTGCCTCTTACTGTGTTCCCTGTATCTGGSTGAAATGGATTTAAAGCCCACACAGGTGGGAGCTAAGTGAAAATCCCACAATTTGGCCCTTGGAATATAGTCTGATTCATCTGGGATATGTGACTATATTTGTTTTCAAAAATCTCTRTTTTAGCAAAATCTCATGGATTCCATGGGGTGAAATGGAGAGCAGTCCTTTGAAACTGTGCCAGTGCCTTCAGGCCAGGATTAAGGCATGCATCTTTAATAGCAAAATTAATTAACTGTAAGAACAATTTACATATGGATAGAATGGKKTYTTTTTCRGTATGGAAGTCTTCTTCCAGTCTARCCATTATGGGCTTGGAAATGAAATTGCTGGATGCAGTTGTGTGATCTGCATTGTGTTAGAAAGTTGGCTGGGTTGTTATAACTCTGTTCTGGCTTCCTGACCTCTGGGCTGGGGAATGAGCTATCATTTGCACAGATCAAGGTGGTTTGAGGTGCTGTGAAATTGGCTTCATCTGTGTCTGTAGTGCAGTGATTTCTGCAAACCCAGAAATGTAGGAATAACAGAAAATAGCCTTTTTCTTTATGCTGTAATTGTAATGCTGTTGATCTGTACCATTGACAAAAATTGCCATGCTATTTGTGTGTTCTGTAGATACCTAATCAGGAAAAAAAAAACTCCTGATACATTGCAAAATGATGGTGAAGAGAAAAACCAGCAATCCTGATGTCTGTTAATGCAGCATTCTCTTCATGTCTACCTCAGTAACTTTTATATGCTTCTCTCTGGATTTTCAGGAAGCCTGGAGAGCAGAAACATCCAAAGGAGGCCTCAYCCTCATCCTTGCAGTGCATGCATCTGGCTGTGGTGGCATGTGGGGACCGGCTGGAGGAGACACTGATCATGCTGAAATCAGCAGTTCTCTTCAGCAACAGGAGGCTTTGCTTCCACATCTTTGCTGAGGATTCCCTTAAGCCTGAATTTGAGAAGAAGGTGAGTTTGTCATTTGGTAAATAAATAAATGAGTCTGTTAGGAGTTGCAAATRTCTGAGAAAAATTACATTAACAGCAACACGTTGTTTACTGTGCATAGTTACAAATTTCTCGTGCATGCATTTTTTAAAAAAGAGCTGTATAACATGTAGTAAGTATCTGATTCCTCCCACTATGTCTTTCAGTTGAAGGAGTGGCCTTCCTCATACACGAAGAAGTTTGAGTCCAACATTTACCCAATAACCTTCTCGGTAGGAAATGCTCAGGAATGGAAAAAGTTATTCAAACCATGTGCTGCCCAGCGCCTGTTTCTTCCGGTAAGGCACCTGGATTTCTGAGTAGGTTGCTTCAGGAAAAGGTTTCTTCCACGGAAAGGAAGCTTTGCTGGTGTAATATTAAAACCATTTTCAGGCTGAAACATCTGCTTAAAGGTATTTTAGTCTGTGCTTAAGACACTGGAAAAAAACAACACAGAAATCCAGCCTGTTTTTTTCCGGCTAACAAAGGAAGTGTGTTTCTGATTTGTCTCTGGTTCCATGAGCCTCTCGGGCTCTCCAGACTCCAGAGAGTGTGGGAGCTCTGTCAGGGCAGATCTTTTGGGGTAGATCCTGCATGCCTTTCCTAAATAACATTCTTTAAACGTGTCCTCTTTACCCACCATCTTCTTTTCCATATGTTAGCCCTTAAACTGATGCTCTCAGCATTCCCTTTTCCTTGAGTTTTATTTCTTTTTTCCAAGACTGTCAGAGTTGCCCTTAAGTTAATAATTCCAGTGTGCTCAAAGTTAGATTTCACTCAAGAGCTTGGTGTGTCCTGGGATCTTCAAGTTCACTGAAAAGCTGTATTATATTATACTCAGTGTTGTAAACTGGGAGAGAAGGRAAGTGTTGATAACAATTTTGCATATCAGAAGTTGAAAGAACGTTTGCATAAAGCAATWTCTGTGTAACTGAGAACATCTATCAAAAATATCTTGTGGGTTGCTKTTGATTGGGGTGACTCCAGTGAAGTGACAAGCTGTTCACATGATCCAGATTTCTTCATCTCTGTCTTAGGAGAAGTGGAGGGGGGGACAAAGAAATCTTTCCCCTCTCAGATGGAAGCAATCAGGAGACAGCTGCACGTCCAGATACGTAGCCTGTGAATACATATGTGAGAAAATATGTGCTGTCAGCAGTTCTGCTGATCTGCCATTTAGGGGTGGACTATCAACTGCACAAAGGCCAGATGGGCTGGAAGGAACTCCAGCTTCAGCAGGGATCCTCTCTCCCCTGAGYAAATATTTGTATCACCTGGAAAATAATCCCTAAGCATTAGCTTGTTCAATACAGAGTGTCAGGAGGTACTGGGTAAACAGAAATCTCTGTTCTTCATATTTCTGTGGTGTTTTCTGTCATTTTGGGAGATGACTTGTAGGAATGGTTTAACTTTATTTCTCTTAACTGTTCTGATGACAGAAAAGGATTATGCACTGATGGTGATTCTTTCTGGCTGGGCAATGCTTTGATTGATTCCTTTTTGTCRCTCACATGTTGCTGAAGTTCTCCAGTAACTTCTTGTGAGGAATATCAGACTGTTGCACGCTGTGTTAGCAGAGTGAGGGGGCAGCTTGGACTGTAGATGWTTGTTTCTCTAGGGACAGTTGCAAAATGCTGTGTGTGGTCAGGCTGAGGTTTATGGCTTTGTGTAGGAGGGGCTGTCYGAGAGGAGTTGCAGCTGACATGGAGTTGATGTGTGTATAGTGAAGAAAACAATTTGTAGTCTTAGCTGAGGAGGCAAATGTCCTGTGGGACTCGTGAGCTTTGGTGCTTGAGTTCACTGGCTGTTCACTGCAACCTTGGGCTGTTTCTGGGTAATTTCAGCCACCATTATGTTTTTTGGTGTTGATGAGAAGTGTTTTGATGTTGTTTCTGCACAGTGGGAGCAGAGGGTTCCAAGTGTTACTGTTTAGAGAAYTAGTTTGACTTTCATTTTTAATAAATACCAGCAGGATATCAGTATGTTTTTTTCTTATCCTTCCCTGTGCTGAGCAGTATTCCCTGCAGCTTCCCTGAAATGTGCCTGGGTTTGGGGAGGACCCCAGGAGAGCAGTAGTTGAGTTTATCAGCTGTTTAGCTCTCAGTTGTGCAAATTGCYTTGCTCCTGATAATGCTAAGCCCGAGTGGAATGTGAGTCTTTGATTCACAAGTGCCTCTCCTGCCAAAGAAATCTCCTSTGCAGCACCAGCAGGCGTGTGAAAGTGGACAGGAGGGTCTGAGGAATGTGTTCAGGGAAAAGTGGGTAAGAACCACTCGGTGGTAAAAGTGGAGCTGTGGGATGTGACCCTGCAAATTGCAGTGCTGAACTGTTCTGTCCTGGCCAGCAGGCTGAGGTGCACATTTTCAGCTTGCTGAATCTACCCAGGATGCTAAAATATTAAAGAGGACAGTACATCATCCTGCATTTTTAGAGGCATTCTGAGACATCTGATCACATTTGCTGCTTAGATGCAGGGAACATAGACAGAGCCTGTGTGTAATCTCACGAGTCAATGTCTTGCTGCACTCTGCTGCAATAAAACCACCCAAGACATTTGCAGACACACAGGGAGGAAGATGTGGATCTTTTTGTGAGCACAGAATGAAACTTTAAACCAGGAGGGTAATGCTCTCTTGCAGTCACTGGGAGCTGCTTTGTACTCCTGACATGGGTGTTAAGACAGCAGGTGAGGAACATCCTCTGCTCCCAGGGATGTTGGTCCCTCAGGGCTGGCTGCAGCTGTCTCCGTGCTGCTCTTCTGGAGCTCCCGAAACAATCAGCTAAAGTATCCTGAAATGCTTAAGGGATTTTTGGATGATTTTTGGATGAACATTTAGAGCCCTTCTCAAAACACTTAATCTACTTAAGAGCTTTTAAGATAGATTAGCAATATCCCTGTGTTACAGCTTTCCCCTTGAGGGATGCTCAAGTATCCAGTGAGAATAGATGCCAGRGCCTTATCTAGACAAAAGTCTCTGCTGTGAGTTAATTGCTTACTACAGTCAGGTTTAGTAACTCCTCCTTGTGGTACTGTTACTCGAGCATCAAGCTTTGTGATTTGTCCCTAATTTTGGATCAAGCTAGGATGCCATGTGAGCCCTCACAAACGCTTAGGTAGCCCAGCTTCACAGTACCCCAGTGTGTGTTTACACAGCAGTGTGTTATTCCTTGCCAACCTTGCTAACACGGGGAGAATCTATGGAGACAGAAGTTGTGAAATCAAATTACAGATAATTGGGTATTTTAGTGAAGTGCCAGGCTAAATATAGCCAGTTCTGTGCAGAACTTTTTGACAGATTTACTAAGAATACTCTATATAGCTGAAAAAAAAAATTAAAAAATTCACACTTCTTTTAAGCTGCAAGTGCCTGCAGAGCAAGGGGAAGGCAAGCACAGCAAGCCATGTTTCTGGCCATCCCCTTCCAGAATCCCAGGCTGTCAGGAGTTCCTGAGTGGTTTGTGTGAGCTCAGACCTCCAGACACAGCCTGGCAAAGCTCCTGCTCCAGGTCACTGCTGTTGCTTTTAACCTGCCCTGCAGGCTCCTGCTCTGTGAGAACTCCTGCAGCTACAACTGGTGAAATTAAATCCCTCCTACCCAAGGCACAGCCAGGAGASATGTGAGCAATTCAAACTGACATCTGCAGGTTTTAAAGGAGTCTTAACACTTGACATGTGAAAGGGAAAGTGTGAAGGGCTTAAAGGAGGTAGCACAGTTCTTTTTTTAGCCAGTTGGGTGTCACTCCAGGGCAGCACCTTGGACACAGGAGAAGGAAGAATCTTTTGACCAGCAGGAAGGAGGGCAGTTGAATCCTGAGAGGAGGGATGCAAGGTGGGGACAGGCCCTGCACAAAGAGCTGAAATACCTTCTTGAATCTGTAGGAAAATTATTACAGTCTGTGGACTTGCACAGACTTAAATTTATTTGTGTATGGAAGGCTGCTGAAAGAATGTTTTTTTGGTGGAAGAAGCAGCGGCCCGGCTGTCAATCATGTTTGGGAAGGATGAGGAGTATCTGTAGGCACCTGTTAAACTTCCCCCTGAACTGGGATAATTTTTTTTTCTGCTGGAAAATGCCTGARCTCATCTCTCTACCAGGGCTGCCTTTGACAAAAGTCTTACATGATCTGCAGTGTGTTACGGATCCCACAGGCATCAGAGTCTCAGCTTCTGCTCTCTGAGTTCCAGGGTTATCTCCTGTCTCAGACTAAATTTTGGGGTGATTTTTCTTCTTTTAATGTATTTTGATTTTATCTAYTTCACATAGCAGGTCTCTATGAATTAGGGCTCTTAGGTGCTACAGAATAATTAACAGACAATATTCAGGMTATCTTTAAATTGAAACCCCTTTCTCCTGTTAAGCTGTCTGTCTTCTATTGATTTACTCTTACAGTAGCTGTCTTTTTTATTGGTTTACTGCATTTTAGTACTGGACTCAAGGATTCTTAACATCTGCACATATTTACTGTGAGCTTATGTATTATTGAACTGKTTTTGTCACTCATTTATTACCTCCACATGCTGGTTTGTGGGGTTTTTGTGGGAAAATAGTGTATTGCTATAATCTTCCATCCAGCAGAGCGATCAGGATTGTGTTGAATGTGTTTATTTGGAGTTTGTTGTAAGCATAACTTATGTTTAAAATGCAGAGACAGTTCMTTCTCCTGCTTGCCCTGTTCTGTAGGAAGAACATGTAGTTATCCTGTCAGAAATACAGGTCAGGGATTTGTTAAACTTGACTAAATGTCAGTCTGAATCCCCAAGTGTTCAGTCAGGTGAAAAATCTCATTTAAGTCTTTACTCACGGATTTGGCATCTTAGTGGATTCCTGTTGAGCATGCTTAGAGGTGATATTTTTCACCCACTTGTTGAAAATCCTAATATTGTTCAACTCTATTTCACAGGTAATCCTCAGTCACAATACATTAGAACTTACGTAAAACCCAGTTTCTTTGGTAGAATTTATTGTAACCTGCATAAATAGGAGAGTTTATCATTAATATCACTGCAATTGGATAAGAAAGTGATTGTTGTGTTCCACAACATGGTGAAAATGCAAGGMCTTTTGGATTTACTTTTCAAAGAAAGAAAGAGAAATAAAAGCAGGTTTTGGCTGAGACCAAAGTAGGAAAACTTCAGTCCTTCAGCACCTTCTGAACAGTTTTAGCAAAYAATGAAGAAGGGCACCCAAAGAAGAGCAGTTGGAACTGGTGGTCAGTTGTCAGTAACGGTTTTTATTATTTTAGAAAGACGTGAAGCACCAGATCATTTGTCCCACCACGGGACATTTATGAATGAGTGTGTAAGGATTTGGGCAGCCACCAGGGGGAACATGGGCAGCAGGAGCAGAGGGAATATCCTGCTCTGATCTGCACTTTGCACCCTTCTGACCTKACCAACTTTACTGGGGTTATTCCTCGTGCAGAATCTGGTAACAGAAGTCAGAATATGACCTGGTATGTTTTAATGTGACATTTCTGTTTAACAGCCAAATTTTGTTCTTCMAGGGGATGCACAAATATTTGTGATGAATGGAGTTGTCTTAATGTGACACAGTTGTGTATATTAATACTGAATATAAGCTTATCCATATTCTGCTCTCCTGAGTTACCCTTTCTGTCAGTGGAGAAMACTGAATGCTTCACCACTTAGAGATCTTGAACAGAGCTCTGTAATTGTGTATTATTTACAAGTAATTTTGGAGCAGATACTAAGTAGTCCTGGCAGGTATTTTTGGGAGCTCAGTGGATTCTGTTTCATGTGTAGGTTAATCCAACCTCAGTGCTCTGGTAGCTGTTTTATTTTGCAGTTCAAAAAAACCCACAGCCAACAAGCCAATAATTTGATTTGTTGTTCCTCTGTGTAATTACATTTAGCTGATAAATCAATAATCTCCTCCAAATTATCAGTTTGAAATAAAAGTCCATTTTGCCAATAATCTCCATGTTTGTTGTCTCTCTGCTTCGTTTCTCATCCCGCTGTGCCCACCCCAAGGTGATTTTAAAGGATGTGGATTCCCTGCTTTACGTGGACACCGATGTGCTGTTCCTGAGGCCCATCGATGACATCTGGCACCTCCTGAGAGAGTTCAACTCCACGCAGCTGGCTGCCATGGCCCCCGAGCACGAGATCCCCAAGATTGGCTGGTACAGCCGCTTTGCCCGTCACCCTTATTACGGCACCACCGGCGTCAACTCGGGCGTGATGCTGATGAATTTGACACGGATCCGCAGCACTCAGTTCAAGGTGAGAACAAATGCAGCTGTTGCAGAAACTCAGGATTACTGTGTTTTTCACATCTTGGAAAATTTATTGAAAAATTGCACTGAGTTCGTAATCCAGTTCGTAATCTGGTTCGTAAAGAACCAGAGAAGTATGGAATACATAGAATTGGATATTAAAGTCATTGGATATTAAAAAAATCATATTGGAGCATGATTRTTAAAATAAATGAAACTTCCTGAAGGCTGGGAGAGTGAGAACTTGGAGCTGAAGCAGTCTGATAGCAGTGTTAAAAATGGCTTTTCCAACTTCTTACCTTACCCCTGAAAAGATACATGAACAAACAAATGATCTTCAGTGCAGTCACTGTATTGTTTTTAAGAATGGAAATCTTGATGTGAGTACCCAGAGAAATTGGTGATTTTGGCATCTGTTGTGATTAGACTTTTACATCCTGCTGCAGATAAGTGACTCTGTGAACTGGTGTAAGTGAGAAGGGAATATTTTCATGACAGGTCATTGAGTGCATATTCTGTAATCACTAAAACTTTGCTCACCCCAAGTGGTTCCTCAGGCAAGGCCACGGTTTTCCCACATTGTTGCAGGAACAGCTGGAGTAAAAAAAAAAAACCCAAACATTGCTCTTAATACTACAATTCCCAGGGAAGATGATCTTTAGTCTGTACTTTTCCTTGCTTTTATACTTTGGTTTTTGCCTTGTCCGTGCATTTTTCTGCTTTTCCACTTTTCCCCCCCGTCACTTGGAATAGGAAGGTTGTGGATAGCAGGAGCTGACATCAGAGCTGGGCCCAGGAGACCTTGTTTTTATTTTAGCTAAACACAGGGAGTTCTGCTGTGCCAGCCCTGTCCAGCTCTAACATTTCCTGGCAGTTCTTCATTCTTYACCTGGGTGTCCAGCATGGCTTAGCAAAACTTACAGATTTGTGTGTGCCCTCTCTGAGTCAGATACCACAGCACTGRTCACTGATATTAACCTTTGCTTCTGTTTTCCTGCCCTGCAGAACAGCTTGATACCGGGTGGTTTGACTTGGGAGGAAATGTTATATCCATTGTACCAKAAGTACAAAAATTACATCACATGGGGAGACCAGGATTTGCTAAATATCATTTTTTACTTTAACCCAGGTAAGGAGTGATTCTTGGACCTGTGATTATCTGTGTTGAAAAAAAAWYYTKRWTTTTTTTTTGTGCTGTTCWTTATTTAAAAGATGCATAAATACTCTGTCATGAAATTATTGTGCAGTTTGGATTTATAACCTATGAAAATACTACTGACATTGCAGGTAGTTGGACTTGGGCTTGGTTCCATTGAATATGTAAATCTGGAGATCTGAGAAAATAATGAGGTATAAAATTAATGATCAAGTGAAGGGATGAAGTTTGGGTTGTGTGTGTGCTTCAGGGTGTCTCTAACCCAGGGTGTAGCTGCAATAATGTTTTTGTTTCAGATGTTTATCTAAATGTTAAAATGCCAAACTTTCTGCAAAACTAAGCCCCGTTTTTCTTGAAATTCAGCTGCCTTCTGATACTCATGCAAATGAGTATCATAAAAGCTAATCCAGGCAGAAAGTGGACACAGCCATTGGAATGTCTCGTCTAAAGCTGCTCAGCCTCTGAGCTGAGTGACCYGGCCTCAGCAGGCACCGGGGTGGTGTCATTGATGTCCTGCTGGTGGGAAATGCAGGGATTTAAACACTGCAGCATAGCACATGCTTCCCAGAGAAGCTGAGAACCTTATTTCATGCTTCTAAATGGATGCTGAATATCCATCCTTACTGCTTTTTCCTGGTTTGCTATGTGACCTTGTAGTCCCTCAAGGGATTTTAAGAAAAAAAAGTTTGGAATTATCTTTATTTATTCTGCTCCCTTTTCTTTTTGTGTAAGGAGTCACAGGGTGGGTAACTGGATATACCCAAATCCAGGCAAATTGCAGGAGGGAGGAGAAGCAAAGCAAAAAGCAAACATCTGTTTACTGCAGACAGATGTCAAACATCAGTGTCCCTGGTACACCATGTATTACCCCAGTCCTAAGGAAAAATAGAGTGGGAAATAATTTCCAAAAAAAAAAGAATGTTATAGAGGTATGGTTTCCTAGAGAAGGAAAAAGAGCCAGGTTAGTTGTGAAATCAAAACTCAAGCTGCTCACTGAAGTGTGCAGGAAAAAACAAAGATTGCAAAAATATTGTAATTTTGTAATGGGTGTACTCTATCAAAGCCACATGTGGGGACTCCTCTGCACCACAGAGTCCTTTCCTTGGAACTGGTAAACAAAATTTTTATGAACTGTGTAACATCAGGCTGCTCAAGCAAAGAAAATGAAAGAACTGGATACAATTCACACAGAAAACTGTACTTTTTGGGGTCTTAAGCTCTAGGTTGTTGAGCCTGGCCTGGGAAGGACTGGCCAAGAGTGCTGCAGGTGTCTTTCCATAGAATGTGAATTGAAACCACAGAGAACTCTGTTACCTGGGCCTGAGTTGCTGCTCCCTTTGCTCTTCTCCAAAGATTGCTCTCCCTTTCTGGAGAACTCTCAGAGAGGCCTTAAGGGAAGAAAAGGTTCAGAAAGTTTTTCTCCTGCTTTTCAAGAACCAGCTGCAGGCTTCCTGGGAAGCTGGGAAAGGCCAAGGGAAGAATTCAATCTTCAGTGCTTCTGCCATGCCCTGCTGGCACCAGCCATGATTCATTGTTCCCCAGGGCCGAGGCAGAAAGGTTGCAGGGACTGGAGTGATTTATGGCAAGCAGATTGCAAGCACTGTGTGCACTGAGTTTAAAAAAAAAATCACCAGGAGAAAGGGAGTTATGAGCCCTTTTGAGAAATTAGGCTCATCTCTAAATGACCTAGTCTTGTGAAATTAATGGATGATGACTCTTTGGAGGGCTGTGGATAAAATACACCACCCCTTATGCTCTGCTGTGTAACAAATTGTCACGGCCTCTGAYAGTTTCAGCAGCAAACACTGGATGTACTTTGCAAGTTYTCCCATGCTGGCTTCAGGAGGAGTCAGGATTTTTCATGACCCTCGCTGCCGTTATGTGCTTCCCAAGTCATTCCTGTCACTCCAAAAATGCCTTGGTATGGCAGAGGGTGCTGGACAGTGCCTGGTTTGATTCTTCCCCTTCAGTTTTCYAAAGGGCTCCCTTGGGTTGGGTTTGCACCCAGATTTTGTGTTGCTGTGCTGTCTGTTTGTTCAGGACCCACAGCTGGGGTGTGTAGTCAGCCATGAGGGAAGGAAGTGTCTGTTTGGGATACTTGGTAAAGAATTAACTGGGTATTTCCCGATCATCAGCCCCAGCTTGGTTTAATTTGCTGTAACTCACGTGTGCCATGTCTCCATGTGCAGAGTGTCTGTACGTGTTCCCCTGCCAGTGGAACTACCGGCCTGACCACTGCATGTACGGCAGCAACTGCCGGGGCGCCGAGGACGAGGGGGTCTCCATCCTGCACGGCAACCGCGGCGTTTACCACGATGACAAACAGCCCACCTTCAAGGCCCTCTAYGAGGTGATCCGGGATGTAAGTGCTGCCTCGACACAGCCACTCCTTGTACCCCAGGCTGGGTTCCTGCCTCACTCAGATTGCTCAGGCTGAGTGGTTGTGTTTGTGTGRAACCCATCAGACACTAAAGAACACAGTTGCTTTGGCCTCTCTTGTATTTGGGGTGGTTTAAACGTTTCTGCTTCGTATTATACTAATCAAATAAGTTATAAAGTGATATATAAGTGATAAATTGCTTTTTTATTGTACTGAAGGTAAAAAAAAAATGTTGCAGTTTCTCCTGCGGGGGCTGCGTCTCTGGTCCATAAATTCCCAAGGAAAGCTTGTCTTCCCTGAGCACCTCAAACTTCTGGGCACATGGAGGGCAGAAGCTTGTCCACAAGCACAGGTTCATGTGTCCACTTGGGATGTATGTGCACAGCTCTGCTTGCCAAAACTCCTGTTTCCTTACAGTATCCTTATGTTAGTAAAAGTCTCTATAAATGCGCASTCTTGAGTTTCTGAAAATTGGCTGTTTAGGTAAAACATCCARTCAAACTTCTGTGAAAGCAGTCAGGCAGCTGAGGAACAAAACATTCTCCAAATGTTATAAACCTATAGAAGGTTTTCTTTTACAGAAACTTAACAAAATGCCATTTCACAACTAGTGAAAACTAATAATTCTTTTTTTTTTTCTTTTCTTTAGTTTCCATTTGAAGACAATCTCTTCCAATCCTTGTACTACCCTTTGCAGTCAAAATTTCTGGATACAGTGCACACTTTATGTGGGAGAATTCCACAAGTATTTTTGAAGCAAATTGAGAAGACTATGAAGAAGGTGTATGAAAATCGTGTCATTGTCTACTTGGGKGCCAACCACAGATACTAACTGCAGCTCTCTTTTTACACAGAAGTTTCAAGTCTTGTACTCCATTTCATGAAGGATRTAAATGAAGAATATGAACTCCTTTACTGAAACTCAGAATTTAAATGTTTTTTTATCCAATTTCCTAATAATCCTTYAAATTACAAAAGGCAGGAAATTCTAGAAGCCTACTTAGATTGTTGCTGAGAACAGCAGGAGAATCTTTTCTTTGTGGAGTACAGTTGTGGCCTGCCCCCCAGTCCCTTACACTTTAAGAATGTATTCTGTGGCTTGGTAATGTGAATTGCATTGGGCACAGTCCAAGGATATTGTCAATGAAGAGTACAAACGCAGGTACCATTGATCCATTTTGCTCTTYAAGTGCTATTTCCTGCACAGTAACAGCAGTATTCCACTGTCAGTTTTCCATCCCTGGCTTGGGGGATGGCCAGTGCTGCTCCTGACTCYATTCTCCTGCATGGAAATGTATTTCTGCCTGGCACTTYCATTCYYGGRATSRTAGAACCACAGAATCCTGGAATGGTTTGGGTAGGAAGGAACCATCATGGACACCTTGTTMCACCTCCTGCAATGRGCARRGACCCCTTCCACTAGACCAGGTTGATCCAAGCCCCATCCAGCCTGGCCTCRAACATTTCTGGGGATGGGGAAGTTGAGAGCTTTATGCTGGGATCATAATGAATAGCCTCAAAGTGAAAGAGGATACCAAATGGCTTTGATGYTTATTTAAAATGCTTAATTTGGCTTAGCTTTCCAAAGTATATTATCATCTTGTGATATGCACAAAGCGCTTATTTAAATTGCAGTAGCTGAAAGGTGCTTGGGACCAATCCCTGGGGAACTGGAAGTGAGGACACTCCTACAGAGCAGCGATCCAAGAGCAGACTCACTCCTAAAGAGCAGCAATCCAAGAGGAGACTCCCAGAGGGCATTTTCTAGGTGTAAGTCCCAAGGGTGTGTGTAGGAGTGCTTCAAGGAAGCAACAGAGAAAATGATCTTACTTTTCAGGTCTGTTCAGCAGAAAACATCATCCAGGACTTGGAACTGCTCACTTTTGTATCTAACAGGCAAAGCAGGAGTGGGGTGAGCAGGGTGAGATAATGGAGCTTTCCCCTAATGAAAGGAAAACTAACACAGATGGGATATCTTGTACATGCMTCATACATTTGTTACAGAGCAATGATTGGGGCGTGTGGATGAGGAAAAGGATATCTTCCCAAAGTTAAAATAGGATTTCTGAGGAATTGCAATTTTGGGATTCTCCCCTATCCAGTCGGGACTGGTGCACAGTTTCCTAAGAAAACAGACASCAAGAGTCTCCCTTTTATCTCACACATTCCTCTCCCCACATGTGGCAGTTCCTGAGAGGAGGGAGAATGTGGCCTTGCTGCCATCCCAGGCTGCAGATAAGAGCCTGTGCACGGGATAGTGCCAACAAGCTTTTCCCAAACGCTGGAGTGAGAGAGTGTCTGTGACACAGCCTGAGAGAGCAGGGCTGCAGGCAGCACAGCGGGGGAGTGTTGGAACAGCAGCTTGGGGTAAGGGCCACTGGAACTGCTGGACCTCACAGGAATGATGGGAAAAGAAACCTTGTTTGCACCGCTGCTGCAAACTGTAATCACAGCTTGATTAAACAATGTGTTCTGACTCCATCCTTATCTCGCAGTGTTTGCCACCTCAGTGTAAATTGACATGTGAAGGACAGAGGCAGCTCGACTGTTGTGATTGAAAGCSGGGGACGCACAAAGTCATTTAAATTTGAGCAGAGATGCCTTTCCAACTTGCCTTAGGATTTTCTATTTCAGATGAAGTTTGTTGCCAATTTAAACAAGAGTRCACTTCTGCCTACTGAGAGTTTGAAATGTAACCTAAATGAGCATTGCAGGTTTCAGAACCAGAAGGCAGAGAAGGTTAAGCATGCTGATTAAAAATGTTTAAAGTAATGTATGACAGTAAACCTTTAGGCCAGCAATTCTARGAGCTTGTATAAAGTATTAGCTGCTTTTTGGTCTTTATTTTCAAGTRACTGGGTAAAGCTGACGCAGGTCAGACAAAGCTGGAGGACTGCATGCTGGGCACACTGAATTCCTGATTTCCATGGTGTCTCCAAACCACAGAAAGCTGCAGAGCAAAGTCTTGCTGCCCAGACAGTTGCAGCCCCAGTGCTGAGGCTCTGGAGTTTTGGAGGCTGTGGTTGTGTAAGCTGTGATTCAGCAGAACCCTGCAACTACATTCAAATGAAGGAGAGGAATTCATTACAAAACAAAGGCATTATTGCATATGAACTGATTAGAGATTAAAGCAGTGCTTTTTATGTTCACAGGAGGTGCTACATTTTGTTTAGGAAGAACTGAGTTATGTTCACAACAGCTATTAAATATATGAAGTACTTGCTTTAACATGAACACTCTTGTTAATGTAATATCAGCTGGCAGGGAGAATGGGGGAGGTTCCCCCCTGCTGGGCTTTTTCTGAGGAAAAAAGCAATAATTTGAGCTCTCCAAAGTGWTTTAAAACAATTATGTAACTTTGTTTTTTCTTGTTGTTAGAATTATTAATTTATATTTTACTACAGCTTCCATTTTATACTTTAGTTTTAACRGTAGTTGATTGTAATATTCATCTTATTTAGAAACTCAGTTTTAACTCATTTTGTATTTCATACTTGTGGCTAATTTCATGTTAATTAGCCTTCATTTATCTTAATAATGGGATATGTAAATACTTATAAAGGCTTTATGTCCTCATTTCCCCTTCCTCYCCTGTATTTTAGTTATTTCATGATATAATGTATAGAACTCACCAGAATTTTGCTTACAGTGGAAACTGGAAACTGCTCGGGGTGTGTGTGCACAACATGAGTGCGTGTGTAAAAAATGTCCCTTTTCTCTGTCACTGAATTCCTTGTGGATTTTTCTTTGACAAGTGTACTGATTGTTACAGCTCCCAAGGAGGCTGAGCAGTGCATTTCTTGGTTGAGGATGATCCCTTGGCTTACAGKACAAATAAATGAAATTTTAGGCAAGCTCTGTACTTTGCTAGTTTTCTTTTTAAATACAAGATTTGGTGCTGGTCTGCTTGGGATAGAGTTTTGTAGGTGTGATGTTATAGTGTGTGTGTACAGGATATGACAGCAGGGAACACAGATAAATGTTCCTCTTTTACAATTTTACTGTAGTGAGAGAGCCTGATATTGGATATAAAGAGACAAATATATTTAACTTTCCCCAAAGTGCTCGTGTGTCATGCTGCAGCTCCAGTTGTGTTAYGGTGAGTACAGACCAGAAATCCCGCTTTCAAAGGAAACTGAAGGTTTGCCTTTTGCTCTGTACAGTTTCTCCATTATGTTTCACTCTTTAGAGGCCATTTAGCATCATTTCCCCTCCCTCCTTGTTTTTCTTTCACATTCTTGTGTGGTCACTGCTGCGCTGTCCTTGCTTGTGACATCTCTGTGTGACAGAAKCTCCTGGTTTGTCTGTTCAGCCAAAGCCGGGTGCTGGCGTTGTTCCCAGCTGGGTGTTGTGTTGGGCTCAGCCACAGCTCTCTGAAGTCAAGAATAAAACTGGCACTGCCGTGGATGGGCAGAGGTGGGGCCAGCTGTAAAACACCAGTCTGTGTTTGGGTTCTGGCAGGGCTGTGGGTGTGTGGGGTGTGTTACACACTCACTGTCACACTGCTCGGTGATCCAGGGTTTTATACTTCCAAACCTGGCTCCAGACACTGTTGCTGTGAGAAGAGAGATTTCCCAAGCTGGGAATAAAGTACAACTAACTGGAAGAAAAAAAATCTTGACACTTTATAAACTGTCAGAGAATCTTTTTCTCCTCTTCATCAGAAACCTCTTTTCCCAAATCCTTCTGATGATGTTTAATTCCCGGTTAAAGGGGTTCGAACTGTGCACAGTGGGTGCCTTCTCAGGGTTCACACCTTGAAAAAAAAGATCTTCCCATTTCGCTCAGCGCTTCCAAAGGGCACCATGACTCCTCACAGCTGAGGCCTCAGGTGTGAAAACACGTCTGGTTTTAGTCTGGTAGTTCGTGGAGTGATGTCAGGAAGGTCCTGTTCCAGTGATACCCTGGGAGGAAGGTGTGAGAAACAGCTTGGAAAGAAAACTGCACCAGCCAGTTTGCCATGGGCTTTTGGATTAATAGGAGACAATCCCTGGGGACTTTTTTGGGTCAGGGGCTGAGCCAGGTAATGCCCAGAACATTTGTCACATCTAACCATTCCTTGTTTTTTAAAATCTCCCTGTGGGTACTCTCTTAAAAGAAACACCARCTCCCACAAATACCATTTTTCAGTTTTCAGCCTCTTTTTTCTAAGGCACTGTGTGTGAGCTGTCCTCATCTTTCGATACTCYCAAGTCTTCCAGATTTTTCAAAAGCACAATAAAGATTTTTAGTCATTTTCTCAGAGGAGGAACATAATTTATCTCAAGGTGGCTGTGATATACTTTAAAGAGAAGAAACAACTTTCTGGATGTTTCAGAGATACATGATTTTTAGTGCCATTTTATTGTACCATACTCGAGTTTCTGCAGCTGTAAATTAAACCAAACCAAAATCCCCACGCTCCTTTTGTAAATCCTTTTATGTGTATCGATGCACAATATTTTCTGAAGACCTAAGTGGGCCTTGAAATACAAGATTGTTCTCATTTTCTTACTGTTSTCTCTGGATTCTACTGTATCTCTCTTGATGCTGTATTGAATTGCTACAGATTGTATCAAAGGACAACAATCAATTTTGGTTCAAACTGTGTGGAAATRCCTTACAAATTGCTGTCACACATCRGTGAAGGGAAACTGCTGTAAGTCAAGTGGCATCAGGGATCTCTAGATACCTAATCTAARCTTCATTACTGAGAGCAGAAGTAGCTGCTGGTCTTACATCCCAAATAATTTTAATTATTGATCCATGCCCAGGGGCTGGACAGCCTATAACTCTCAAAAAGTATGTTTTTAAATCCATAACATAAATCTTAAAGAGTTTTTGTGTAAGTTTAGTGCAAGAAAAAAAACCCTTGGATTATAAAACAGTTTCTCATTGTTCTTTAGTTAGATGTTTAAACCACCACATCCTCCCCAACAAGGTAATTTTTCTTATTGTTGGATCTTGATGAATATCCTACCAGCAGGCTGGGAACTGACACAAAATGAAATCATCTTGTCTGTGTACATTTTTATTACAAGGTGTGTCAAATACCTTACAAGGAGTAATTATCACTTATGTTTCATTAATGAAGAAGCTCAGGTGTGATTGCCTCACCCCTTTGCCTGAGATCACACAACAAATCTATGATGAAACTACCTACAAGCTTTTTGTGTTTCTAGGATTATGTTTAAATGTTTCAGCTTTGAAAATAGAAGGGGAAGGGGATTTGCTGTGAATTGAAATAATTTGCAGTTAGTAGAGGGGGATGGGGTAGAGCCTCTGACCTGCTCTGTGCCTCACCTTGGGACCATGGGCAAAAAGGAGTGACAGG